CCCCGCCCCAACCCCAGCTCCTGGTGGTGGCCAGCAATCCTGACATTCCTTAGCTTGTAACTGTATCACTCCAGCACATGGCTGCCTCCCCGTGTATCTCTCATTTCTCTGTATCCAAATTTCCCTTCCTTTTCTCTCTTTTTATTTTAAAATATATTTTTATTGATTTCAGAGAGGGAGAGAGAGAGATAGAAGCATCAGTGATGAGAGAGAATCATTGATCGGTTGCTTCCTGCACGCCCTCCTCTGGGGATCAAGCCTGCAAACTGGGCATATGCCCTTGGTCAGAATCAAACCCAGGACCCTTCAGTCCTCAGGCTGATGCTCAATCCACTGAGCCAAACTGTCTAGGGCCCTTCCTTTTCTCTTATAAAGGCACTAGTCATTGGATTTAGGGCCCATCCTTTAGTATGACTAGATCTCAACTTGATTACAATCTGCAAAGATACTACTTCCAAGTAAAGTCACAGGTACAAGGGGAACACAGTATTTATTCAAAACTCATCAAATGAGAAGGCAGGCTGGTATAGTGAAAAGATCTCTTGGACTTAGAAGTTGAAGGTCTTTGTGTAAGTGTTGGCTGCTACTAATGAGCTCTTAAAACTTGATAAATAAGCCCTGGCTGGTGTTGCTCAATGGTTAAGAGCGTTGGCCAGTGCACCAAAGGGTCATGGGTTTGATTCCCAGTCAAGAGTACATACCTTGGTGTAGGTTTGCTCCCCACCCCTGGTCAGGGCCCTTGTGGAAGGCAACCAGTCAATGTGTCTCTCTCACATTGATGTTTCTCTCCCTCTTTCTCTCCTCCCTCACTCCCTCCCTTCCATTCTCTCTGAAAAGCAATGGGGAAAATATCCTTAGGTTAGGATTAACAAAGAAAAGTAAAAACAAAAAAACCTTGAGAAATCATTTAGCACCCTCTGATCCTCACTTTTCTCCTTTGCAAAATAGGAATGCTAACCCCACACTAGCAGGGGTGTTGAAAGACTTAATGGCAGTGACTGCACTTTGGGAGCATAAAACTTCATTATATCAGCAATTATGAAGAGATGCCAATCTCCTTTTTTTCTCTTTCTCCTAGTTTTTTACTTGAAAAATTTGAAGCCTCTAGAAGTGTTGAATAGTCTATCAAATCTTTGTTGATTACTAATAATTTTATTTATACATATCTTTTAAATATTTATATCTACATTTTATAGACGTTAAATGAACCATTTGAAAGCAATTTCGGACTCTAGGGTAATTACAATGGCAACATTAAAGTTTTAATGTAATGATTTTAAGAATTACATAAACTACAGAGGTTTATTCATTCATCAAGTTATTTATTCAGGCATTCCTATGTAGCAGAACATAAGCTGAGGAGGTGGTACAAAAATAAGTGATGCATAGACCCTAACTTCAGCAGCTGCGATTCCAACAGGAGAGACAGTGACATAAATAGCTTCCTATGGTGATAAATATTGTAATCGTCTGCGCAGAGTGGGACAGAAGTGTTGAGAGGGGTCACTGTGCTGCCTCGTGCACTTTCCAAATGAAGTCTAGGCGAGCTGAGACTCACTTGGAAGATGTAGTTAGCTAGGCTAGACACTGAGAGGGAACATGGGCCACCGGACACCCTGGGCCAAGATTCGTAATCATTTCACCCTTAATATTTAGTGGCAACCACCTGAAAAGTGGATTTCCCAAATTTACACACGCAAACAATCAGTCAGAAAAATAAAACCAAAAGTGAAATACTTTCAAGGGGTCTAGGATTGCTTTTTAAAAATATGTGTGTTTTGATTTCAGAGAGGAAAGAAGAGGGAGAGATAGAAACATCAATGATGGGAGAGAATCATTGATCAGCTGCCTCCTGCATGCCCCCCCACAGGGGACTGAGCCCGCAACCCGGGCATGTGTCCTGACCAGAATGGAACTGTGATCTCCTGGTTCATAGGTCTGCGCTCAACCACTGAGCCACTCCAGCTGGGCTAGTTTTTGCTTTTAAAATAAAATAGACCTATCTAGCATTCATTTCTCTTGGTAATGCTCTGATTGATTTAGAAAGAACAAGTATGCAGTGCTTTTCCCCATAAGATGCCCCTTTTGAACTTGATTGTAAAAACGGTGACAGAGGATAAATCCAGGTACACTTTCCTTGTTTACAGCATGAAAGACATTTGGCTACTCATATTATCAAAAACCGGTGTTTTACCTTTCATTTTTAATATGCCGTCTCCAACAATTAAAGGCAGAGTCTAACCAGCATTGGAGTTGTTTCTTCTTGGTTTTAGACCATCCTGTTTACATGCAGGAAATCTTATCAACAAGAGATAGTCCTTTATGCCACACAAGAGTAAAATCTGCTGAAAACATTCATTTCGAAAGTTTGTCTTATGTGGGCATTTTTGTGATCATCAGCAACAGGGGTGGGGCGTGTTCTGATATTTCAAGTTTTGAGGGGAAAGTTCCTTGAAATTTGGGGTTTTTTTCCCTTGTCTCAAACTTGCTGGCGTAGATTTCCTGAAGTTTCCTTGTCCTCAGTGAGATAGCCTCCATGCTGTAGCGTATCCTGGAATTTGCACTCCACCTCTGACCTAATCCACACAGCAAGCTGCCGCCCGTCACAGCTGCTCCCTTCTTGGAGGTGGAGTGTGTCTCTCCCCTCGGACGGGTGTGTTTGCCCTGCACCTCGTTACCTAGCCACCTGCAGGACCATCGGACAGATTTTTTTTCTGCTTGGTCATCTTTTCTGCTGATACTCTGCAAGTTGGGGCCTGCTTTTACAATAGCATGTTTTTTTATTCTTGTATTTCCTTTCCAGCAAATGATGAAAAGATAGATGAACTTGACTCTTAAGCAGTGAAGTGAAGCACATTTATTATTCTTCAATTGGAAATTTGCATACCTCACAACTGAATATGAAGTGTCCTTTATTTAAACACTACTTGTGACTCTTTATTTAACATCTAGGTTCAAGAACCTAGTAATAAAAAAAAGGAGTAAATTGTAATTCTGGTGTGGTTTTTGTTGTTGTTCTTGTTGTTTCAAATACCAGCTCGAGCACACTTACCAACTAGCATATCATAAAAAGTGAAATATGGTTGGTTTCTATGTTGTCCACAGATATTTCAAACAGAGGACTGACTTGGGTTGAAATAGTACCAAACTAGAAATACGAATTTAAAGTCTTGAATAAACTAAGTGGAAAGAAAAATTTTTTCTTGGGATAAGTAATTATTAGTAACTTATTAAGATAGAATATAATTCCATCAAAATGTATTTCACGGTTTTCTCTTGGTGCTATAGCAAATTACCTCAGATTTAGTAGCTTCCAATAACACAGAGTTATTCTCTTATCACCTGGAGGTCAGAAGTCTGAAATCAAGGTGCTGGCAGGGCTGCTCTCCTCCCGGAAGCTTTCATTTCCTGGCCTGTGTGGGCTTCGAGAGGCTGCCTGCACTTCTTGGCTTGTGACCCCTTCCATCACGCCAACCTCTTGTTTCCATTGTCACATCTCCTGTTCTTCTCTCTGATATCCTACATCCCTTCATCAGGCCCATCTGGATAATCCAGGGGAACGAACCTCCCCATCTCGGCATGCTGACTTTAGTAACATCTGCAGAATCCCTTTTGCTATATGAGGTAGTACTCACGGGTTCTGGGGATTAGGATGTGGAGGTCTTTGCGGAACCATTATTCAGCTGACCACACCCACTAAATTCCAGGTGTTTTTGTGTTGAGCTAGGTAAATGAAAGTTTAAAAAAAAAGGTGAGGGAACTCAGCGTTCAGTCCTCTGCTCCTTAGAATGTAAGTAATATTGTCCCATTTTTTTGTATGATCCAGGGCTGCTGTCTGATTCTTTCAGGGCTTTAAGTTGAATGTCTAGAGTAGGAGCTTGTTTACCATCATAAAAGAAATACAGATTTCTAGGATTATATTCTATTTCTAAGAGAGTATGAGCTTCAAGTCATTCATTCAACAAATATCTTTTACAGCGGTTCTCAACCTTCCGGCCCCTTAAATACAGTTCCTCATGTTGTGACCCAACCATAAAATTATTTTCGTTGCTACCTCATAACTGTAATGTTGCGAATCGTAATGTAAATATCTGATAATGCAGGATGGTCTTAAGCGATCCCTGTGAAAGGGTCGTTCGACCGCCAAAGGGGTCGCGACCCACAGGTTGAGAACCGCTGATCTATTAAGTATCCACTGTGTGATAAACATAGGCTGGGCCCCAATGATATACAAGTTAAGCAAGTTCCCTCTTTGCTCTTTCAGAGCCAGGTTGCTCTTTTCAAAATCCTTTGTCGCGTAAACACAGTCCAGCCCCATGTAAAGTTTCATGCACATGCGAATTTAGCAAGGTCTCAGGAAGGTATTTTTAAAAGTCTGATTTGAAATATTTTCAGATTTTTATATTTGGCTTTAGTTTTTGTTCTTGTAATTAAGTTGTAGGTCTATTAACTTCAGATGTTTAATACAAGGTTGGGAAAATAATGATTGAAAATTTAAATTTTCTTTGTTACAGATGTTTCATTTGGAGCCTTTGAATCATACAATATTTAACTCAGAAATATTTCAACCAGAGATGCCAATGCCAACAGGTAAGGAAACTCCTCACTCCCAGTGCCCTTGTTATTTGGCTTTTACTCTTTTAAATTCAGGATTTGCTAGTGATCTCTTTTAGAAATTCAGTGATCTACCTGTAAAGAAAATGGTGATTTATGTTCTAAAAAGCTATCTTTTAGCCCTATCTGGTTTGGCTAAGTGGTTAGAGCATTGGCCTGCGGACCAAAGGTTCCCAGGTTCAATTCTGGTCAAGGGCATGTACCTCGGTTGTAGGCTTCTCCCTGGCCCAGGCCCTCGTCAGAGCCCGTGCAGGAGGCAACCAATCAATGTGTTTCTCTCACATCGATATTTCTCTCTGTCTTTCCCTCTCTCTTCTACTCTCTCTAAAAATCAATGGAAAA